ACTGAGTAAGTTAATTGGACAGCTGGTTGGTGCTACCAAAGATATTTTGTCAAGATTTACTTGCTGTTAAACACTAGAAGTCAATTGTTTCAGAGGACAATATATTTTGCTTCTTGTTCAACCTTCCTTTTTGGACTCCAGAAACGTCTTATTTCTGGTCATGAAATGAATTTTGATTTGGTAACCTTAAGTGTTATCTGTCGAGGAAATCCTGAAAAGGTGATAGAAGTTTTGTGGGTGAAAGATCTCAACGAACTTATTGGCATCAAAACTTGGGAGTTAAGGGAAACTGGAGTCATGATGCAGCGATAGTTTCCCTAAGAACTGCCAATGGTGGCAAATGTGGGATGACAGAGTAACTAGCAATGGTATCTCTGACTTGTCTTCTAATAACAATTGAATAGGTTGTCATGGATCTGGATGCAACTCAAGAATGTAAAACTTATGCCTGACAGGAGCAGCATGATGAAAGCCGACTGCCAGCTTTCTGCAGAGCAACTTAAGCTTGGAGGCAACCTTGATGATGGATATTTATACTCCTGGATGTATTTGTTTGCTTCATTTCCAAATAGTTTGTTAGTATTTCTTGAAGTGTTAACAGGGTGTAGATGTGAAGTATGACTAATGTAAGTGGTAAGTGGTCGATTATCTGTCTGTCGAGAGACTTTCAGTATAGGCTTAGGTTTAGAGAAAATGCGATAAATCTTTACTTTATATTTAAGAACACTTAGGGGAAAATATTTTGATGGGTATGGATAAATATTGTGCACCAGAAACAAATGGCAACTGGTTCCTTGGGGTACGCAGTTCCAAAAGTTGATGATTAACTTCATTTATCTCCGTATTTGTTGGCTTATATTTCCTGAACCTCAAAAGACCCAGAGGTGATCTTATAGTTAGTTTAGTAAGCAAACCTGTTGTGTGAGGGCTACTGATACTACCAAGCTACTTAGATTTCATTTGGTGGAACGTGCACCAAACTCATAGGGCGTTGGTTGACAGTTAAACATCTATTCTCATGGGTCAGTGGGAAGACCTATAAATCTCTCCACACCTACTGCTATCACCATAAACCGTTCTACTTTCCGCTTTAATAAACAGTAAAGTAAGGATACATGGTAAAATGTATTCAACATTTGTTCAAGCAAAAAAGTCAGTAGGTCTTCAGGAATTTAAGAGGTTAATGAAGTTTATTTCGGTCGATGGAGCTCATTATAAATCATGGGGTATATTTCTAACTACATTGTACGTGTTCTTACCGGGGTTTTCCGGGCAAACAGCTGCATTTCATACATATATCCCAAAGTGAGTATTTGCATTTCCCCCACTCTTTACTATCCTCGGGCTACTGTTCAGTACGCGTGTGGTTGTAGTCTTATAACGATCTTGTAGAGTGTATAAATAAATCTTTTATTATTATTACTTGTCTCTTGGGTTCCTAGTGGAACATACGGATTCAGTAGCACGTCGCCATTTCACTCTATTCTCTCCAGTCTCCTTAACCTGGCTCCACCACTGCACACCAGCTCCCATTTCTTTCTCACACGATCTCCTCCATGTCACCATCACCACGGACGCTCAACTCATCGCTTCCCATGCTAGTTCCATTCGACGGCCCACCCTGGCCCGATGCGTGATGTCCCCAAACCGTTTTCTCAGTCTATATCCAGTTCAGTCCAATCAAATCAAATCCATCTCCACTCTCTTCCTCTGCATATTTGTTCGACGAAGGGTTGTTGGTTGGTTCCTTGCCAACCAGAGTGAGATCCTTGTTGCATATACTTTCTGGTCATGTATATGATCTTGAGTATCGAGTGAGAGAGTGTAGGTGGCAGCTGTTGTTGATGTATGTTCGTAGTTTGTTGGAAATGCTTTTCGTAACTTGTCGAGTCTCTCAACCATCACATGGAAGCACTGACTTATTATTATTATTAGTCCCTTGGGTTCCGAATGGAACATAGGGCTTCAGTAGCACGTCTCCACTTCACTCTGTTCTCTGAGATCTTTTGAACCTGGTTCCACGACAGCCCACAAGCCCTCATTTCCTCCTCGCACGACCTCCTCCATGTCACCCTCGGACGTCCAACTCGTCGCTTCCCATGGGGATTCCACTCGAGTGACTGGCTTGACGCGTGATGTCCCCACTCGGCCTTCTCAGTGCATGGCCAATCCATCTCCACTTCCTCCTGCATATTTGTTGCGTGATAGGTTCTTGGTTGGTTCGTCGCCAGGCCAGAGTTCCTTGTTGCTTATTCTTTCTGGCCATCTGATCTTCAGTAGCGAGCGGAAGCATTGACTTACTTGACTGGAATTAGTATTGATAAGCCGGAACTTGTTAACGCTTTATGCTGAGTGCAGTGCAGTACAGAGCAATATATGTGCACACTGATTTCAAGTTAATGAAGGAAGGCCTGTCTTGCTCTTCCGATACTGGCTTTGACATCGCCATCTGTGTTTGTGATGCCTGTAGTTGAAACGATGCTGTATTGCCTGGGCAGTTGAAAGAGACAACTTCCTTTAGATTGCTCCAGTTGATGTTGATTGGTGCTTGTTGTTGGTTGGGTATCTTCATCATATCTGTCTTCTCTACATTCACTTGAAGCACCATCTTCGCTGCCTCACCTCTTCTGTCAACATGTTGGTTTTCGTCTGTAGATCTTCGAGTCTTTGCCACAAGACATTAGACATAAATCATCATCATTGGCGAAATCCAAATCTGCTTCTGGTGTCTTTTCATCGGTCCAGCCAGCCAGCCAGCCAGCCAGCCAGCCAGCCAGCCAGCCAGCCAGCCAGCCAGCCAGCCAGCCAGCCAGCCAGCCAGCCAGCCAGCCAGCCAGCCAGCCAGCCAGCCAGCCAGCCAGCCAGCCAGCCAGCCAGCCAGCCAGCCAGCCAGCCAGCCAGCCAGCCAGCCAGCCAGCCAGCCAGCCAGCCAGCCAGCCAGCCAGCCAGCCAGCCAGCCAGCCAGCCAGCCAGCCAGCCAGCCAGCCAGCCAGCCAGCCAGCCAGCCAGCCAGCCAGCCAGCCAGCCAGCCAGCCAGCCAGCCAGCCAGCTAGCCAGCCAGCCAGCCAGCCAGCCAGCCAGCCAGCCAGCCTATGCCCTCTTCTCACAGCTCCTCACACTTTGTTGCATGATCCAGTCCACTTCCGTTCAGTTGACCACAATCACGAAGATGATCGGTGTTAGTAGGTGGCAACGTTGTCCTACTACTTCCTGTCTTCACTTCAAAGGCATCACTGAGCTGAGCTGAGCTGAGCTGAGCTGAGCTGAGCTGAGCTTTCCATTATGCTGAGAATCACTAGACATGTGGCATCATATTGCATAGCATAGCATATAGCTAATGAATGAGGTTGATAAAGGTCTGTGTCACTGAAAGCACAGTGTTGGAGCAGCTGCCTGCCAAATCACATCTCGGTTGACGTTATCGAAGGCGTTATCGAAGTCGATGAAGTTGAGGAGAGGTAAAGAGTTGACTACCATTCTATGCTGTGTTCTGTGATTAGGTGTAGTGCAGAGTAGCATTGCAATTTGATTTCCATATGATTTGTTTTTCCTGAAGTAAAATACCCAGCCTGTTCCGGTCGTAATTTTGAATGCAGAGCGTTTTTCAGTCTCTCCAGGATGATGTGGCCTAATATTTTGCTTGGTGTGAATAGGGATGGAGCATGATTTTGCACCAGTTCTTGCAAACACTTAGGTGGTCATTCTTTGGGAGTTTGACAAGGTGGTCCTTCTTCCAATCAGTGAACATGTACCTCTCCTTCCTTCCTCCCTTCCTTCCAAATCTTCTGCAGTAGTGGAGTGATGATGTCCACCACTGATGTTTCTGCGACCTTTTTCAGTGGTTCTGGTGGAATTCCATCTGGTCCTGCTGCTTTCCTCGATTCCAGTAACTTGATGGCTTTCAGGACTTGACTCCTGCTTTTGTTGGAGGGTTTGTGTTCACTGGTAATTCTGTGACTGGGTGTGCTGCTGGTGGTATTTCTGGACGAGTTGTAGGTGGTTTTGGTGGTGGTGGTGGTGGTGATGGTGGTCGATTCAAGAGATATTTGAAGTGGTCAGTCTACCGTTTACTTTGTTTCTCCCCTTTGGTGTTGACTAAGTTTCCTTCACCATCTTTCATTGGTTTCATCTGTGTTGATCTCTTGACTGTGAGTAATCCGGTTATTTGATTGATATGGTGATGTCAGGCCTCTGTCTCCCTTACCAGCAGCCTGTTCTGATTCAGATGTGAGTGTGTCGGAGAAGTGTCTTCTGTCTTTGAGTGCACTCTTCTTCACTTCTTTGTCCAGTGTAGTGTTTTATACATTGTACTCACTTCCTCTTCTCGTTGTTCATTCCTGCACTGCACTGCACTGCATTGCACTGGTTCATCTTCCGATTCACTATCTCCCTCTCCCTCTCCCTCTCCCTCCTGTATCAGCTTCCATGTGTCCGTCGAGATCCATTCCTTGTCTTGTCTTGTCTTGTCTTGTCCTCTTCCTTCCTAACACCATTATGCAGGTTTCCTACACGCCTCTTCCAAACAGTTCCAGTGTTCTTACACGCAGGTTTCCTCAAGTATACTGCCTAATGTCTCACATTTTGTCCTGATAACTGAATGACTGATTGACTGACTGACTGACTGATGTGAAGGTGTCCTTTGAAATTTCGTCCCTCAGTTCAGTTTCTCTTCTGGGTGTTCAACCTGAACTCTGGTCTATCATCACCAACTTCTGTGGAGGCTTTCAACTTGATTTGGGAGTCAGGTTTCTTGCACTCGATGGTGAACGAGTGAGTGAGTGAGTGAGTGAGTGGTGTGAACCTACATCCGCCCACCTTCTTCATCTGATCTGATCTTGTATCCAGTAGGCTGTGTCTCCACTTTGTTCACATTGAGATGAAGTCGATCCGATTTTCAGTGTAGTGTGTCCATCTGGTGAATGGTGAAGGCAACTTCATTTCACTTTGTGAATATCTTTGTGTTTGTACATACTGCTTGACTCCAATCACCAATTGGTTGAATGTGCAGAAGTCTGCAAACACTTCTCCATTCTCATTCATCATTTCACCGAGTGCCTCTCCACCCATCATCATCATCATCATCATCATCATCATCATCATCATCATCATCATCATCATCATCATCATCATCATCATCATCATCATCATCATCATCATCATCATCATCATCATCATCATCATCATCATCATCATCATCATCATCATCATCATCATCATCATCATCATCATCATCATCATCATCATCATCATCATCATCATCATCATCATCATCATCATCATCATCATCATCATCATCATCATCATCATCATCATCATCATCATCATCATCATCATCATCATCATCATCATCATCATCATCATCATCATCATCATCATCATCATCATCATCATCATCATCATCATCATCATCATCATCATCATCATCATCATCATCATCATCATCATCATCATCATCATCATCATCATCATCATCATCATCATCATCATCATCATCATCATCATCATCATCATCATCATCATCATCATCATCATCATCATCATCATCATCATCATCATCATCATCATCATCATCATCATCATCATCATCATCATCATCATCATCATCATCATCATCATCATCATCATCATCATCATCATCATCATCATCATCATCATCATCATCATCATCATCAGTTCTCTTCCTGTGTTTGCCACTTCAAGTTCGGTATTCATGTCGCCCATTGAGATTTTGATGTGGCCAACTGTGTTGTGGTCATGTGGATTACTGATTGCATTTGTCAGTAGAATTCCCCCTTCTTCTCTTCATCTGCATTATTTGTAGGTGCATAGCTTAGCGTATCATTGAGTGATTGTGGGTCTCCTTCCTCTTCACTTGAATCCATCTTGCTTTCATGATGCTGTTGTTGGAGGAGGAGATTGGTTTCCACTGCATGAGAGCCTTTGATGTTCTTGGAGACATGATGATAGCCACTTCACAAGTCAGTGTGCTCTATCGTGGTAGTTGTCTGGGTGACGATATCGGAGTAGATTATTGACTGTGTAGTTGACAGTTTGGAGAGTCGACTTGCATTGCATCTGCAGATTCCTCTCAGATTCCTATCACTTTTATGATATATATTTTCTCATTTGTTTTGGAATTTGTGCATCCTTGGTATGTTGAAACATGGTGTGGATATTCCATGTCGCTATGTTTATTTTTGCATTCGTCGAGAGAGAGAGAGAGAGAGAGAGAGAGAGAGAGAGAGAGAGAGAGAGTGGAGACACATCGGTGAATTTGTTTCGTGAAGGCTTTTACCATCGGGCATCACTGTGTCTCACCGATTCTAGTATGGAATATATTTATTTTTATTTTTTGTATTTTCTTTATATTTTGAAGTTTCTTTAGCGTTTAAGATGACTTGCTGAAATTACGGGATAGGAACTTGTGCGTATGAAGCAAATGGCAGCAGCACTCAGGAATATATGTGTTTGAGAAAAACTAGTATTTGCAGTCATATCTATCAAAGACTTGACACCAATGGCTTTAAAAGACTACCACCACGTTTATGTTCTCATACCGGTGCTGAGATCTCGTATTATGGTGACTGCATATCATCTCCCAGAACATGAGTTTACATTGTTGATCGCTGTACTGTAAGATACTCAGCTGTTTGTATATGACTTAACTTAGTGTTAGAAGAGCACATAAGACAATGGAACATAGAGGGAGGTGACTGCGAATTGCTTCCTGTTCTGTTACACTACTGTTGATGTCGTGATGTCATTCATAAGGCCCTTGGAAGATTGCATTAAATCCTCCACATCTGGTAGGCATTCCCGGTGAGTTAGGCAGTGGATCACAAAGCATCTGTGTCAAAGTCCTTTGGGGACAACCAAATGATACAGTAGGGGTAGAAAAATAGGACTGATATTTTACTTGCACACACTTCTCCTTAGAGGTGCTGTATGCAGAATTCATAACCACAACTTCTGGATACTTTTGTATTGCGTTATCACTTGATTAGTTACAAAACGAAAATCTCCTACTCATCTTTCATCATTTACAATACACGAGACCAATTCTGTTCCTGGAATTTCAGCAACTAGTGAGTCAATGTCACGGAAACTTAAACAGGCTACAAATGAAACATTTCACACTATTTGAGTACATCAGTTCCTGGTAGTTCGGACAGTCATCGTATGTTAAAAGCCTTTCAAAATTAGTGTCTAACATATTCATACTTTGAGCTGGTGGTGCATTCCGTTCGATTAGTAGTAGAATGCTCGTATGCTGCTCATCCCTGATTCTCCGAGTTCATGCATACACAGATATCAGAAGTCGTTCCATCAACCCGTGTTTGTGAATAGTGCTAAACTTCGAGCAACTTCACATCGACCAAAATTCAGTTTACTCCGGAAATTAAAGGGGCACTCGAGAAATTAGATCTGTAATGTAAATGTAATACTTATTATAACAGTACTTAATGTAATCCTCACTGTTTGTTGCTTTTTGAATTCCTCTATCGATCAACATGAAAACAGAAAACAATATACTGGTTGGTACCCATAAGGTGGATCTACGTTATCATTTTCGTCTCTGTTTATGCGAAAGCCGCTAGTCTCGTACAAACAATTGGTTTACTTTAACGTTAAATGGTAAGTTAATTAGTTAAACAACTCACTTACCTCGCTTGATGCCCGCTTTACACTCCTACCACATTCGCAAACTTTGATACCTCACAAGTTGACTAAATTCCTCTATCACGTCTACGGACACAATATTACACCTGGAGAACATCGTAATGCTACTTTCCCATCGTTAAATGTTATACAAAAACGTTCAAACGACACAAGAACAAAAATAAGCGGCTGACAGAACTTTAAAGTAACGCCTTTGGTTTTTTGAAGGTAACTTCGCACTGACCAATCAAAATAACGAAAATAAAACAATTAATCTCACCCGTACGAAGTCATAATTAAGTCCTACAACAGGCACTGAGACTTCTTTTCTTATCAGTTTGTCATCATTTCCCAACTTTTATTTTTCGGTCTTCAAATTGTCGTCATAGCTTATTATATGATGCAATTTTCTATGTCTATGCTCAACTGAGTTTTTGTCAAATACATAAAACGATAGGCATGAATAGCACTTAAAAATATCAGTGTTATCGTTTAAAAAGTATATATATATATATATATATATATATATATATATATATATATATATGCTGGTCTCTTGAGGGTAACCAAGCACCGACCAAATCCTATTGGTCACTTCCTAATGGACCTACCTAGGGACTAAGAGCAACAGAACGTTAGAGGAGATCAGTAGGCGGGCCTAAACCTAGTTCTGGTGCTTATCGGCACTTGTCAGAAAGATATATCTGCAACATAGAAGGAGCTAATATCAGGACAACCAAAATATATTGTATCAAGGGATTTATGAAAGATTCTGGTATGGTCGCATGGGTCGGTCGATTCATTTCTTTCAATCCACTGCAGGTAATTCCAGGCTCTAGTTGACTGATTTTGTACATAATATTCACTAAAATAGTATTTATGGAGCTAATATTTTCACATCTAGCACGGTTTAAATGTAACAAAACACCTCTCATAGATCTGATTACTACCTACCACTAGTATTTACCATCATATAAATTTTTCGCATAATTCTTTCACATACACAAAAATAAAACCACGCTGAACAGAGATCAAACTGATCGGTTCCAATTGAAATGGATTGAAATTTAAATTGTACATCATTTATTTAAACTTCGTATTTTTGTGTGGTCCTAGGAATAAACTTGTCTTAAGGTTCAGCTGTCAGTATGTTGTAGTGTACCTTGTTAACGAATTTTGCTTTTATAATAGTGGTAGCTTGTGCAAAACGTGTGTCTCACTTTAAAGTGGAAATTCGTTCATTAGCAAGAAAATCTGAAATAAAGATGAACAACAGGGAGTGTATACCGATAACTTGTTCAGCACAAAAAGCAATACATTTAGAAGTAATAAAAAACATAATAAATAGTTGTAAATAAGGCATAGAAGTGGATGAAAAATAATCTATCAAGTGAAGCTGGAAACAAACTTGATAGGGATGCAACAAACTGAGCAAATGAGTAGTGGGTAATAAATACTTGAATTAACAAGTTAAATACTGAGCATTGTAAAACGTCACTGAACAGTCGGTACTGCCGTTAATTCCCATAGTAAAAAACATGATGGCTGACACATTCATATCTACTCGCGTATGCACACGGACAAACCCACGTGAAAAGGTAGGGACTGACCAGTTGAAGCGATGATCGTTATTATGTGGAAAGTATTATCTGATAAATATGCGTAGATTTCATGAATGAGTACTAACTACAGCCTTTTATCGTCATCTATACATGTTTCATACTTTGCATTATACATCGAGAAACACAGAACATGAAACTAAAGGAAACGACTGGATTAATGTATAGATACTAATGATAGATAGTGGTTGACGGAAGAATCCAGGACATGCATTTTGTCCTATTTGGGACTCATCATTTGGAAGCACCTGTCTTCCAGTGAGTGGTGATATTTCCACTAAGACGAGAAGCCAGGATAGAAGGTCTTAAGCACCAGGACCTTGTCCTCTAGGGGTCAAGGCTATGATAGCCACTTCTTGCATGATAGCTGTGGAGCAGTTCCTCTGTTATAGATTGCGAGTCTTCATCGTTGATTAGGATAGCTTTCCATAATAAGAGTGATTGAATTCCTACTTCCTGAGTTATTCATTCATCAAGTGGTCTTTAGACGGACGAGAACGCTCACCTGCATTCTGGAATAACTAACAAATGGGTGGATTTGTGGCGATACATTGATTCCGAGGAAGTTTTCATCACACACAGATACTTCATAATCCCAAAATAGGACAAAACGGTTATCTAGTGCCCCGAGGTTGAGATAACAAACCCAGTACCTTATTGATAGTAAATATTTGTCAGTTAAATAAATTTGCCCTCTGAAATCCAATGATAATTGGATCCCATGCAGTGGGTAATTTATGGACATTGAAAATTTTCTATGCTACATTGGAATAAGTTGTCGATTATAACTATTTAAAATTCTAATTACTGTAGTGTTTTCCAATAACAAATTGTTTCTGTACTTCTTATGCTTCCCATGATATTTATTTCTGACACCAACTCTATGTAATCATACAGACATGAAACTCTGGAAATTCATCATTAACTTTCATCATGCTTCCTGAGAAATCTTTGATTCGGTCTCTCTTAAAAACTCGTTTTGAAGGTTTGTGTGAATTTATTCATTGTTTTCAGGTTGATATCCATCATTGACAGATATCAGTTGGAGAAACATTGGAAAATGAGGAGCAATGAACAGCTGTTTTGTCCTAGTATGGAACTCTTCAGAAGTGCGCACCCATGACACTGTCTAGCCAGGGATGGAAAGCAGCACCCTCATGTCCTGCAGCTAGTACATAACCACTGAGTCAGTCATAGGGTTGGCACCAAACGGTCCACATTTCCTACTTCTGTCAGTTAACGATGAAGTGAGACCTCCATCCAATGCCGTCGTTGAGTAAATATCCTCACCTTCTACTTGGTTAGTGCCACCAGTCACGACTTCTCATCAGAACTTTGGGAATTACCCCTAGAATCTAGTCACCAATGAGGACTAGATTAATTCTGTTTGGAGGATTGTGGGGATTTATTTATTGATTTCAGGTTGATATTCATCACAGACTAACATCAGCTGG